CAAATCTGATGTAAGATGGGGGTTTCCGGAACCGTTTCTTCTCTGGATGGATCTTTCCATAGTTTCTGAGGAGACACAGCCCCAGAGTTGGCCCCATCCCCACACCCCACAGCGTTGGCACGTGGCAAAGGTCTTCTCCTCCGCTCCGGGTTTGGTGGGGAACAGAGTGACGGAACACGAGGGACGCAAAGCCGCTTCTGTCGAATTCCGAATGAGGTTCTGGAGTCTTCCAGCCTTGGAGATGCCCAAAACCCAACCGGACACGGCTTTTTTAACCAACACATTTTTTAAGCGGGGGATTTAGACCAGACGATCTCCAGAGGTCCCTCCCGACCTCAACTATTCCACCATCCTCAACTGCAGACGCCTGAACCCGTCTCCTCCTTATTCCCAACGCCTACTGGGTCTCCTCCAGTTGCCCACCCACGTGCGTAAGGTCGTTTGAGATGTTCCACCAGGTTTCTGCTCCATAAAGAGCACGGACTTTGCCCGCGTCCTGCTGCCCCACATGGAGAAACCATCTCAACTGGTGCTGGACACCTACACGGGAGCAACTTGGCCTCAGGGCAAGAGTCCAAGTGACTTTGGGACATGGGGACTTGAAGACTCACCAGCTTCTTGGGAAGCTTCGGGTCCTTGGCGATGGCTTCTCCGATGAAAGACAGATTCTTCGAGAACTGCTCGAAACCATCCGTGGGGCTCAGGTCGAACACGATGGGGGCAGAAGCAGCCATGGCGTCGCGGAAGAACCTCACCTTGTCTATATCCATATCGTTTTCCCCCGCGGAAATCGAGGCCAAATCCACAAAAACGGGGATTTCCGTCTTGTCTGAGGACGGGGAAATAAAGCAAAAATAAGAAAAATTGAGAGAGAGGGTTGAGGATTCCCCAAACGCTGTGTTGGATGTGGGGACAGACAAGGACGAAGTGATGTCCCTCTGAATCTGATGACTTCCTCCCTTCCTTCCTTCCTTCCAGCCCACCTTTTATGATGGTCTTGATCCAGGAGGTGAAACCTTTGCTCGCGCATTCCAGAAGTTCCCTCAGAAAGTCCAAGACTCCCTGGGGGATGTCAGTCAAACTCTTTTTCACTTTCATCAAGTCTTTGGTCATGAAATCCAGGCGCTTGTTCTTGAATTCCTCCTCTTCCTGGAAAAAAAAGAAAGAAAAAAGAAACAAAAATCAGTGTGTGTCTATCGGGAAGAGACGGGAAGAAGCTCGGTTCTGCCTCCTCCACCCCAAATAAGATGAGATCTCGGCCTCAAACCCAAGTCCGCTCCTGACGTCATCCCCGTAGGCCTCCGGGGTGAATAGGAAGAGGCAACTGGAAGCAATTCCTTCAGTTTAATGGAAGAGGAGGGCTGAAGAGCAGCCCTGAGGAGAAGGACCTAGGGGTGTTGGTGGATGAGAAGCTCAATGTGAGCCGGCGATGCGCGATTGCAGCCCAGAAGGCCAACCATGTCCTGGGCTGCATCAAAAGTGTGGCCAGAAGGTCGAGGGAGGGGATTCTGCCCCTCTACTCTGCTCCGGTGAGACCCCACCTGGAGTACTGCATCCAGCTCTGGAGCCCCCAACATAAGAAGGACATGGACCTGGTGGAGCGGGGCCAGAGGAGGCCCCGGAGATGCAGCGAGGGCTGGAGAACCTCTGCTGGGAGGACAGGCTGGGAGAGTTGGGGGGGTTCAGCCTGGAGAAGAGAAGGCTCCAGGGAGACCTGAGAGCCCCTTCCAGTGCCTAAAGGGGCTCCAGGAGAGCTGGGGAGGGACTTGTTACAAAGACATGGAGTGATGGGACGAGGGGTGATGGCTTCAAACTGGAAAAAATGTAGATTTAGATGAGATATGAGGAAGAAATGTTTCACTCTGAGGGTGGTGAGCCCCTGGGGCAGGTTGCCCCGAGAAGCTGTGGCTGCCCCATCCCTGGAGGTGTTCAAGGCCAGGTTAGATGGGGCTTGGAGCAGCCTGGGCTGGTGGGAGGTGTCCCTGCCCAGGGCAGGGGGTTGGAACTCGATGATCTTCAAGGTCCCTTCCAACCCAACCCATTCTATGATTCTATGAATCCCACTGAGGAGGACTTAAGCACGAGCCACCTGATGGACCTGTCTACCTGGATTATCCCCCCGCGAGCGACCAAGCCAGCTGCCCGCGCGCCTCCTACGTACGTATTTCGTCAGGTCGCTGAGGATCTGGAAGTCCCCCTCCAGCCCGAGCTTCTGTCGTAGGGCATCGATCATCTTGGCCGTGTTGACCACCTTGGAGAGGGTGAGGTAGTTCTCAATCCTCTCCACCGCCCCCGTGATCCAGGCAGCTGTGCCACCCCTCGGCTCTTCGCTCTTCTCCATGATCTTAAACTCCTCCAGGAGCCTCTCCTTGTCTCCCAGCAGCTTCTCAAACTGGCTCTTCACCATCCCGAGGGTGATGGAGAAGTCTTTGAGGGACAGGTAGGTCTTCTGAAAGGCAGCGATGGCCGGCTTATAAATATTCTCTCGCACATCTTCTATGGAGAGGACTTGACCTTCAGGTCCGGTGGCCTCGATCTGCTGGGCCGTCATCTTCCACAGCCGCCGGAAACATTGGCTTTTCTCCACCACGGCCAGTTTTTGCATCATGGGGCTATAATTGTCGAGGGGGTGTGGTTGCACCATGCTCTCGCCGTTGACGGAGAACAGCCTCACCGCCATCTGGTCCCTCAAACTGCCGCTGTCAACGACGCTCATATCCACAGGGTTTCTGTTCACTAAACCGGGCGGCAACGACAAGAAGGAACCCGCGTCACGCCTCTCTCCGCCAACGAAGACGCGCCAACGGGTTGTCCCAACGTTGACCCAACGTCAACGGGTGCCCTGATGGCCTCTCCCTCCCACCCGCCGTGAGACTCTACATCTTAGGAGGCATCTCCCCACTCAACCACCACAGAAGACGCTCCGTTAACCCAACGGGTACCTTTCACCACGTCCTCAATGCTGCGGCACAGGCAGAGGAAAGAACGTCTTTGCCTCTTCTGCTCTTCCAGTTGGCCAAACTCTTGCGTCCTGACCTTCAGCACTTGCGTTATGCACGTGGAGAAAGAGGGATCTGGGGGAAAAAAGAAGTCCCAGAGGTGAAGGAGAACCGCTGGGAAGAGAAGAGGAACATGACGCAAAAAACCCCAAAAAAGCGATGAGATGTGGAAAACCTGCTGCCAAACCCACCAAAAATATCAATAAAGTTTACTATCGGAGTAGGAATCGGAGGACTTGCCCCCAAAATATCAATAAAGTTTATACTCGGAGCAGAATTTGATGTATTTGACATCAAAAACCACCAAAAATATTGATAAAGTTTATTTGCGGAGCAGGATTTGGAGGACTTGCTCCAAAAAAACCCACCAAAAATGTGGATAAAGTTTATTGTCGGAGCAGTATTTGATGGATATGCCCCAAAAAAAACACCACAAATATCCATAAAGTTTATTCGCAGAGCAGAATTTGACAGCTTTGCCCCCGAAACCACAAAAAATGTCGATAGAGTTTATCCTTGGAGCAGGATTTGGAGGACTTGCCCCCCAAAAAACCCACCAAAAATGTGGATGAAGTTTCTTCTCGGAGCAGGATTTGACATCAAAAGCCACCGAAAACGTCAGTAAAGTTTATTCTTGGAGCAGAATTTGAGGGACTTCCCCCAAACCACCAAAAATATCGATAAAGTTTATTCACGGAGCAGAATTTGATGGATTTGCCCCCAAAAAACCACCAAAAATGTGCATAAAGTTTATTCTCAGAGCAGGATTTGGAGGACTTGGCCCAAAAATGCCAAAAATATCAATGAAGTTTCTTCTCGGAGCAGAATTTGATGTATTTGATGTCAAAACCCACCAAAAATATCAATAAAGTTTATTCTTTTTCCAGAATTTGGAGAAATTGCCCCCAAAACCACCAAAAATATGGATGAAGGTTATTCTCGGAGAAAAATTCGGAGAATTTACCCTCCAAAAATATGGATAAAGCTTATTCACGGTGTAGGAATTGGAGGACTTGCCCCCCAAACCACCAAAAATATTGATAAAGTTTATTGTCGGAGCAGAATTTGGAGGATTTACCCCTGAAAATGCCAAAAATATTAATAAAGTTTATTCGCGGAGCAGAATTTGATGGATTTGCCCCCAAAACCACCAAAACTATCGATAAAGTTTATTCTTGGAAGAGGATTTGATGGATTTGATATCAAAACCCACCAAAAATATGAATAAAGTTTATTCTTTTAGCAAAATTTGATGGATTTTATGTCAAAAAACCACCAAAAATATTGAAACATTTTATTCTCGGAGCAGAATTTGATGGATTTGCCCCCAAAACTGCAAAAAATATGAATAAAGTTTGTTCTTGGAGCAGAATTTGATGGACTTGCTCCCAAAACCGCCAAAAATACGGATAAAGTGTATTCTCAGAGCAGAATTTGGAAGATCTGCCCCCAAAAAAATGCTAAAAATATGGATAAAACGTATTCTCGAAGCAGAATTTGACAGACGTGCCCCCAAAGCCACCAAAAATATGGAAAAAAAAACTATTCGCAGAGCAGATTTTGATGGATTTGCCCCTGAAAATGCCAAAAACGCGGAGAAAGTTCCTCCTTTTAGCAGAATCGGAGGGATTTGCCCCCTTTCCTCTGGTTTTTCATCGATCAGAGCCGGAGTTGGCTTCAAGTCAACGCGTGAATCCGGGAAGATGCACCACCGCCACCCTTGACATAAACCCCGCAAAAAACCCACAAAATTTAAAATAAATCACAAAAAAAACCCCAAAATTTTAAAATAACCCCCTCAAAACCTCCAAAATTTTAAAATAAACCCCGCAAAAAACCCCAAAATTTTAAAATAAACCCCACTAAAACCCCAAAATTTAAAAAAAACGCAAAAACCCCAAATTTTTAAAATAAACCCCACAAAAAACCCCAAAATTTTTAAATAAACCCCCCAAACACCTCAAAATTTTAAAATAAACCCCGCAAAAAAACCCAAAATTTTAAATAAACCCCACAAACACCCCAAAATTTTTAAATAAACCCCGCAAAAAAAACCAAAATTTTAAAATAAACCCCACAAAAAAACCCAAAATTTTAAAATAAACCCCACAAAAAAACCCCAAAATTTTAAAATAAACCCCGCAAAAAACCCCAAAATTTTTAAATAAACCCCAAAAAACCCCAAAATTTTAAAATAAACCCCCCAAACACCCCAAAATTTTAAAATAAACCCCACAAAAAAACCCAAAATTTTAAAATAAACCCCACAAAAAAACCCAAATTTAAAAAAAAAAACCCAAACACCCCAAAATTTTAAAATAAACCCCACAAAAAACCTCAAAATTTAAAATAAACCCCACAAAAAACCCCAAAATTTTAAAATAAACCCCCCAACCACCCCAAAATTTTAAAATAAACCCCACAAACCCCCCAAAATTTTACAATAAACCCCGCAAACCCCCCGAAACTCTCCTCACCTCGACAAAGCCCGAGCGTTGTCCCTCCTTCCCCCTTCTCAAATTGCTTCAAAATCCCCTCCGCCACCAACAATTTCCATTTCCGCTTCAAGTTTTTTTGAACCCAATTCAATTTTGGGGGGTTTTGTGGGGTTTTTTTGGATAATTTTCATTTTCCTTCGCGTTTTCCATGAACCGCCCCGTAAGACGTTTCTCCCGGTGGCCACGTCGGCTACCGAAAAAACACCCGCGTTGGCGAATCCCGACTTACCGCAGGTGCACAGCATCTTCGTGAACGTCACCTTATCCTTCAAGATGTTGGAGAGGACACTGCAGGGAACGTCTCCCTGGAGGACGCGGTGGCCCAAGAAGCTGGAGAGCTCGTACACCTGCTCAAGGAGGTTCTGGGCGCCGTCGCTGAGCTGGACGGGAAACTTGCGCTCCGATTCTCCTACGAAATACGGGAAGTTTGGTGAAAGACAGCCGGCAATTGCTCGCCTGGATTTCTTCTGAAGGTCTTCTTCCTCTGCGGGAAGAGCTTCCAGTTGGAGGGGGTCCGTCACCCCACCGGTGGGGAGGGGAGGTCAGCGGTTGCTTTTCTCGCTCGCCCATCAAAATTGGCATCTTGGGACAATCCCAAATTTCCTTTGGGAAACCCAATATCCCCCCTGCCCGAAAGGAACCACGGGGACCACCGAAGAAACCACGGGGACCACCTTGGAAACCATGGCGACCACCAGGAAACTACGGGGACTACCTAGGAAACCACTGGGACCACCAGGAAACCACAGGGACCATCAGGAAACTACAGGGACCACCTAGGAAACCATGGGGATCACCTAAGAAACCACAGGGACCACCTGGGAAACCATAGGGACCACCAAGGAAACTACAGGGACCACCTAAGAAACCACGGAGACCACCAAGGAAACCACAGGGACCACCTAAGAAACCACAGGGACCACCTGGGAAACCATGGGGACCACCTAGGAAACCACAGGGACAGCTAGGAAGCTACAGGGACCACCTAGGAAACCACTGGACCACCTAAGAAACTACAAGGACCACCTTGAAAACCATGGGGACCACCTAAGAAACCACGGGGACCACCGAGGAAACTACAGGGGCCACTAGGAAACCACTGGGACCACCACGGAAAGCACAGGGACCACCTAAAAAACCACAGGGACCACCAGGAAACTATGGGGACCACCTAGGAAACCACTGGGACCACCAAAGAAACTATAGGGACCAATGAGGAAACCATGGGAACCACCGAGGAAACCATAAGGACCACTGAAGAAACCATGGGGACCACCACAGAAAGCATGGGGACCATCACAGAAAGCATGGGGACCACCTAGGAAACCATGGGGACCACCAAGGAAACGACGGGGACCACCAAGGAAACTACAGGGACCACTAAGAAACCACTCACTGTCTTCCTCTCCACAACTCCACAACGGCGTTGAGCGCACAACGACAACAGCGTTGGGACGGGGACAAGGAGACCGAGACGTTTCTCCACTCCTGGAGCGAAACCGAGATGTTCCTCTCCATTCCTGGAGTGAAACCAAGACTTTTCTCCAATCCTAGAGAGAAACCAAGACGTTTCTCCACTCCTGGAGTGAAACCGAGATGTTCCTCTCCACTCCTGGAGAGAAACATGGACGTTTCTCCACTCCTGGAGAGAAACCAAGATGTTCCTCTCCACTTCTGGAGTGAAACCGAGATGTTCCTCTCCACTCCTGGAGTGAAACATGGACGTTTCTCCACTCCTGGAGAGAAACCAAGATGTTCCTCTCCACTTCTGGAGTGAAACCGAGATGTTCCTCTCCATTCCTGGAGAGAAATCAAGATGTTTCTCCACTTCAGGAGTGAAAACGAAAGCATTTCTCCACTCCTGGAGTGAAACCAAGACATTCCTCTCCATTCCTGGAGTGCAACAAGGACGTTTCTCCATTCCTGGAGTGAAACCAAGACGTTCCTCTCCATTCTTGGAGTGCAACAAGGATGTTTCTCCACTCTTGGAATAAAACCAAGATGTTTTTCCCCATTATGGAGTCAAACCAAGATGTTTCTGCACTCCTAGAGAGAAAACAAGACGTTCCTCTCCATTTCTGGAGTGAAACCAAGATGTTCCTCTCCATTCTTGGAGTGAAACAGGGACATTTCTCCACTCCCAGGGTGAAACCAAGACATTTCTCCATTTCTAGAGAGAAATCAAGAGGTTTCTCCACTCCTGGAGTGAAACCAATACATTTCTCTCCACTCGTGGACAGAAACCAAGATGTTCCTCTCCATTCTTGGAGTGAAACAGGGACATTTCTCCACTCCCAGGGTGAAACCAAGACATTTCTCCATTTCTAGAGAGAAATCAAGAGGTTTCTCCACTCCTGGAGTGAAACCAATACATTTCTCTCCACTCGTGGACAGAAACCAAGATGTTCCTCTCCATTCCTGGAGTGAAACAAGGACGTTTCTCCCCTCCTAGTGTGAAACCAAGATCTTTCTCCACTCCTGGAGAGAAACCAAGATGTTTTTCTCCAATCCTGGAGTGAAACAAGGACGTTTCTCCACTCCTAGTGTGAAACCAAGACGTTTCTCCATTCCTGGACAGAAACCAAGACGTTCCTCTCCATTCTTGGAGTGCAAAAAGGACGTTTCTCCACTCCTGGAATAAAACCAAGTTGTTTTTCTCCATTCTGGAGTCAAACCAAGATATTTCTCCATTCCTGGAGTGAAACCACGACGTTCCTCTCCATTTCTGGAGTGAAACAAGGACGTTTCTCCACTCCTGGAGAGAAACCAAGACGTTCCTCTCCATTCCTGGAGTGCAACAAGGACATTTCTCCACTCCTAGTGTGAAACCAAGACGTTCCTCTCCATTCCTGGAGTGAAACCAAGACGTTTCTCCACTCCTGGAGTGAAACCAAGATGTTCCTCTCCATTCCTGGAGTAAAACAAGGACGTTTCTCCACTCCTAGTGTGAAACCAAGATGTTTCTCCATTCCTGGAGAGTAATCAAGACGTTTCTCCACTCATGGAATGAAACCAAGACGTTTTCCTCCATTCCTGGAGTGAAACCAAGACGTTTCTCTCCACTCATGGATAGAAAGCAAGATGTTCCTCTCCATTCCTGGAGTGAAACAAGGACGTTTCTCCACTCCTGGAGTGAAACCAAGATGTTCCTCTCCATTCCTTGAGTGAAACCAAGACGTTTCTCTCCACTCATGGATAGAAACCAAGATGTTTCTCAATTCCTGGAGTGAAACCTAGATGTTTCTCTACATTTCTGACATGAAACCAAGACGTTCCTCTCCATTTCTGGAGTGAAACTTCATTTTCCCAGCTCATTTTTCCACCCCCTTCTCCCATTTCCCATCTCCAACCAAATCGCAAGGTGCCAGCGAGAAGACCTGCTCTTCCCATCCATCTCCTACACCACCCAAGAGCTCCTCCCAAGGAAAGCCCTCAGGGTCGAGGAGGAAAGAGAGGGGTGGGACACTCACGGACAGCAGCAATGAGATCGCAGAGCCCCGGCGTGGCGAGGAGGTTTGCCAGGACGGAGCCGGTGTTCTCGTGAAACGCGGTGAGACTTTCCAACCTCTTCACCTCCCAACACATCTTCTCCACCAGGACGGAAAGCACCTTCCCAGCAGCCGGTTTCTTCGTCTCAAGCAACACGGGTGGTCTGAACTTCAACGCCAATTCCTGGAAGGGTGAGAAATTGTTCCTCTTTAAGGGTTTCGTGGCCCGGCTGATGGTTCCCAAAGACCTTGCCCCGCTCTTCTAACCCAGCAAAGATCTTCCCCAAAGAGGTTTTTCTCCTTCCCTTGGACCTTCCGCCGCAACGAGGCAGGCGAGAATGTCTTCTTGGGCACCCGGAGCAACTGCCACCCAACGCGTCCGCTCCGAACGCGTCATTTCTTATGATTTATCATGGAAAAACGCAACGCTTTGGGTTGGGAGGGACCTTCAAGACCATCCGGTTCCACCACACCCCCTCCACTTGCCACTGGCCACCTTCCGCTAGTCCAAATTGCTCCAAGTCTCATCCAACCTTGGCCTTGAAGACCTCCAAGAGGTGGCTCAGATGAAGTCACCTCCTCGCTGCCGGGGTTGGGCTTATAGAATGGTTATGATTGCACAAGGGCTGAGGAAAATGTGGGGTTTGGGGGTTTTTTGGGGGGTGGTTCCCCCCCTCCCCCCCCCCTTCGATGGGTGAAGTGCTGCAGTGGAGTCATCTCCCAAACACGGCTCTGCGAAAAGCCAACGAGGGGCCTTCAGGGTAGGGAAACATCCGGAAGGGGATATCAGGAGGATGAAGCACGGAATCATCCAGTCGTCAAGGCTGGGAGGGCCCTTCGAGATCATCAAGTCCAACCGTCAACCCAACACCCCCACCACTAAACCCCTACGTCCCTCAGCGCCACATCTACCCAACTTCTAAAGCCCTCCAGGGTTTCTCCACCCAAGTGCACTCCACCACTTCCCCGGACATCCCATTCCAACGCTCCACAACCCTTTTTGGAGCAGAAATTTCTCCTCATATCCATCTCGGGGACGCCTGAGGCCGTTTCTTCATGTTCGTCAGGAGAAAAGACCAACCACCACCACCACCACCTCCCCACAACCTCCTTCCAAGCGACCGTAGAAGGTTTCTACTTTAGCGCGGAGCCGGATTCAACCTCAGCGACCTCAGGGCGGAGTTTCGGGGAGGTCCCCAAGCAGGTCCTCGGCACCCTGAGGTGATCCAGCAAAGCCGGAGCCGTAGAGGTCTCCAGTAGAAGCGAGGTGGGACAGCAGCTTTCCTACCTTGCTTTTATCCAGCGTTCTGATCCACTGGATGACGCAATTGGTGAAGGAGGTCTCCAACTCCACCTCATACTGCTTCTCCGTCATCAGGAACGCCTCGTAGAAGCCCATTAAGTGTTTGTCATGAATCTACGGCGGAGAAACGCTTATGGGGCAGCTGCTCATACCAACCCGGCTGGAGTTCCACCACCAAAACGATGACGGCGGCGAAACCCGGCGTCGGTGAAGAGCATCAATTCCCCAACCAGCTGGAGGGGGTTGTCCACGCCTCACCTGCGTCAACCACGTCTCGAACATGTTGTGGAGCAATTTCCGCCACTCCGTGGTCCAGTCGGCGCAGAGGATCTCCACCGAAAGCAGCTGCTGCCACATCTACAGAGGAAGAGCCAAACCCACCCGTTGACCTCAAGGAACGCCGAGATCTCCCAAGGGTTGAGGCTCATGTTGGCCTCCGGGTTTCGTCACTCACCTCAATGTTCTCCAGGAAGGACTTCTCATTCGTGGGGGCCTTCTGGAAGTATTTCGTCAGCCACGGCTTGGTGAAACTTGAAAACTCCTGAAACCTTTCCACCAAAGCCAACTGCCGGAATTCCTTGAGAAACCCAAAGGCGAGAAGAATGAACCAGAAGCTCCGGGTTCTCCTCGGTTCCAAAAGAGGAGGTCAAATGCTCATGAAGGAAACCGGAGACCTCCTTCTCACCTTGTTCTCTCGCAGCGAATCCGCTGGGCCGACAAACTTCTCGAATATCCGCAGCATTGTCATCATGGGGCCGAATGCCACCTGCTTCATCAGGTCCCCCAAGAAAAGCTTCAGCAACATGTAGACCAAGTTCAGACACTGCAAGACCTCGTCCTCCTTCGTGGCCTTCGGCAGTGGCTTCGAAGACCTGCGGAGGTGGGAAAGGACCAAACGCTTCTTGCAGCTGCTTTCACCGGTCCTCACCTCACCCCAACCACCGCCGCCCGCCGCTGGGAGAGGTGGGCACGTTCCCATGACCCTGGAGGGTCTCCAAGCTCTTCAACCACGGCGTGGGGTTAAGGACATGCCAAAAACGTGACGGGCAAATCGTGGCATCCACCTTCTTTCTGCTCAGTCGGAGTTCCGCCCACCCATCCCTCCCCACCCCCATCCCCGCCGGCGTTACGGCGCCTTCTCCTCTCGAGGAGCCCCCGCTCACATGTCTTCGATCCAAGAGTCCACCCCTCTGGAGATTCTTTCCAATAATGCGTTCAAATAGTCGTCCTGAAAAGGGGACAGAGAGAGATGAAGGACCACAACCGAGAAGGTTTCTGCTCCCACAGCTGAGAAGTTTCCACCAGGAAACCCAAAAACATGAAGTTTTCTGGCGAGAGGAAAGGGATTTCCTCTCTTCCGGCCCCAACATCCAACTCTCTTTCTCCAACTAAGTCCTTCCGGCCTGCTGAAGATCTCTGCAGGGACCATGGACACGTTCTGCCCCACGTTTAAGCAACCCCCACCGCTCCCCGCAGAGCAGAAGAAGGTCTCCCACCAGTCAGTTGTCCTTACAGGCACTGGGGACGCGTCTCTTCTGGAGTCCACAAAGCGCATGTACAAACTCTCCAAGAAGAGCTGGAGCGGAAGCCAAGTGTGAGGCAAAGGGTCCCGGATGAAGTTCTTCAAGGCCACCATCTCCACCACCTTCTTTGCCAGCGGAAGGCAACTTTTAATCAAGGTCTTGTGAATGCCAATCATCTTCAGGACTTTCCTAGGACAGCAAGTCAAGAACATGAGATGGACTTTGGAGGACCAGGAGGCATGCGGGTGGCATTTGAGGTGGCCCCGTGACTGGTAGACGCAGTGGTGGCCCCGCGTTTGACAGCGAGTGACTCTACGCCCGCTTTAAGGTCACGAGGACAAAACTCGGGGTTTGAGTTGACCTCGACGGGTTGGAGGAGGGAGCCCGTGCCAACCTTGTGAAGTTCAACAAGGCCCAAGTTCAAGGTTGTCCCAGTTTGAGGCCGCTCCGTCCCAAACCACCCCAGAGGTCCTCTACCGGGGCCACGGCAACCGTTGGATGTCCCATTTGGATGGGACTTAAGGAAGAAATGTCACAGGCTGAGGGCGGTGGGACACTGGAACGGGCGGCCCAGAGAAGCTGCGTGCGCCTCGTCATTGGAAGCGTTCAAGGCAAGGTTGGACGGGGCTTTGAGGGACCTTCTCTAGATCATAGAAGGGGTTGGGTTGGGGTTGGGGTCAGGTTGGAAGTGGCCAACCTTCCTTCAAAGATCATCTAGTTCACCCCCCAGGCTGTGGACAGGGACATCTTCCCTGTGGTTGGAGGTGTTCAAGGTCAGGTTGGACAGGGCTTTGAGGGACCTGACCTACTGGAAGATCATAGGATGGGGTTGGGTTGGGTTTGGGTTGGAAGGGACCTTCAAGGATCATCTTCGAAGGACGGGAACATCTTCCCCACCATCGGCAGTGGTCAAGGTCAGGCTGGACGGGGCTTTAAGCAACACGATCTAGTGGGAGGTGTCCCCGTCCACGGGTGGAGGGTTGGACTAGATGATCTTTGAAGGTTCCTTCCAACCTTTCCAACCCAGCTCTGTGGATGAGACCACAGAGCAGCCAGCTCCATCTTTCCCTTGAGGTCCACCAACCTTTCCACCCCCACGGGGCAGGGCCCACTGCATGTGAAGGAGAAGGGACAGCCCCTTGAGAAGCCACCGAGCAGAAGGAACGAAAAGCGTTTTGAGGAGCAGGACAGTTCCTCACCCCCCTGATCCCACCTCAGCCTTTCAGACCCACTTTTGGTTCTCGTCGTCCTTCTTCAGCTGCGTGAAGGCTTTGTGTTGGATAGAGAGGTCCTCCTTCATCTCCTTGATGGCGTAGAGCAGCGGGAGCAACCAGATCCACAAGGTGCCATGGGTGGTCTGGAGACAGATCTCCCTCAGAGCCGGGAAGTATTTGCTGCCGGAAAAAAAAAAATAAAAAAAAAACAAAACTCCACAAAAAAAGTCCAACTTTCCATTACTGACCTCTGAGATGGCGGTGGGAGACCTGTCCCAACGTGGGACGGAGATTTCCGCCACCACCGATGACAGGAAAGAGCTCAACTCAAGATATCTCCAGGGGACAACTGATAGCAGAGATGGCGGACGCTCTTTAAAGTGCCCCGAGGTGCCCAAGATGGGCTCCCCCAAGCTGGAAGCCACCAACCTCCATCTATGCACCCTCATAGACCCCTTGGGGTAGCCAAGATGAAGATGGAGTGGCCAAGATGGGCTCCACCAAGCTGGAAGCCACCAACCCATAGCTAGGCACCCTCAAAGACCCATTGGGATAGCCAAGATCAAGATGGGGTGGCCAAGATCAAGATGGGGTGGCCAAGATGGGCCCCACCAAGCTGGAAGCCACAAATCCACCTCTATGCACCCTCAAAGACCCCTTGGGGTAGCCAAGATCAAGATGGGGTGGCCAAGATGGGCTCCACCAAGCTGCAAGCCGCCAAGATGGGCTCCACCAAGCTGCAAGCCGCCAAGATGGGCTCCACCAAGCTGGAAGCCACCAACCCACGGCTATGCTCCCTCAAAGACCCCTTGGGGTAGCCAAGATCAAGATGGGGTGGCCAAGATGGGCCCCACCAAGCTGGAAGCCACAAATCCACCTCTATGCACCCTCAAAGACCCCTTGGGGTAGCCAAGATCAAGATGGGGTGGCCACGATGGGCCCCACCAAGCTGGAAGCCACCAATCCACCTCTATGCACCCTCAAAGGCCCCTTGGGGTAGCCAAGATCAAGATGGGGTGGCCACGATGGGCCCCACCAAGCTGGAAGCCACCAATCCACCTCTATGCACCCTCAAAGGCCCCTTGGGGTAGCCAAGATCAAGATGGGGTGGCCACGATGGGCCCCACCAAGCTGGAAGCCACCAATCCACCTCTATGCACCCTCAAAGGCCCCTTGGGGTAGCCAAGATCAAGATGGGGTGGCCACGATGGGCCCCACCAAGCTGGAAGCCACCAATCCACCTCTATGCACCCTCAAAGGCCCCTTGGGGTAGCCAAGATCAAGATGGGGTGGCCACGATGGGCCCCACCAAGCTGGAAGCCACCAATCCACCTCTATGCACCCTCAAAGGCCCCTTGGGGTAGCCAAGATCAAGATGGGGTGGCCACGATGGGCCCCACCAAGCTGGAAGCCACCAATCCACCTCTATGCACCCTCAAAGGCCCCTTGGGGTAGCCAAGATCAAGATGGGGTGGCCAAGATCAAGATGGGGTGGCCAAGATCAAGATGGGGTGGCCAAGATCAAGATGGGGTGGCCAAGATGGGCTCCACCAAGCTGGAAGCCACCAAACCTGGGTCTACGCACCTTCAAAGACCCCTCAGGATAGCACGCGGCGCCCAAAGTGACGGGTGGGGACAACCGAGGTGGGCCCCAGAGCTCTCTAAAGGCGCCGTTGTCCCCACGGGAGAAGATTGAGGGATCTAAAGTACCTTTTTCCTCTCAGTTCTTTGTATCTTTCCTCAAAGAACTCGATGACCATCAGGCGCTTCTCAGTCTTGGCCAGGATGTCCGAGGTGAGGACCACGTTGTAGCGGACGGCGGCGTGAAAGGCGAAGAGGAGCTTGGGAAGTTGCCGTTGCTCGTTCTTCAGGCGCTTGATGATGGTCTCTACGAAGGCTTTGATACTGCTTCCTACCTGGACAGGGTGAATAAGGAGAAGACCTTTCACCGGGCTGGACAAGACTTCTTCTCTGAGAAGATCCTGGTCCCGGGAGGAAGACGGGAGGTGGAAGACGGGAGGTGGAAGATGGGAGGTGGAAGACCACCAAACTCTTTATTCCTGGTGCCACATGGCCACCTGGGAAGGTCCTACACGCTCCGGGCAGGAGAAGACTTTGAGCTTCACCCCTCCAAACCATCCCTTGAAAGGAAGGAGGTGGCTTTGCCCACTCCCCCTGAAGGTTTTGAAGGACATTTACCGCTTCCACGGCTGAACTGCAGTTGATCTGAAAGCCTTCTCCTGTCTCAGCATCCCCCAGAATGACGTTGACGCTCTCCTTGTACCTATCCAGCTTCTTCTCCATCTCCTCCAGAGAATTCCAGGAGGTGGTGCGAGTGAAGAAGTCCCGTTCCAGATAGTCCATCTGGATTTTGCACCTGGAGATCTTCTTCTGCAGGTTGAAGGGTTTGGAAAACCTTCCGCCGCTGCCGCGGAAACTACACTCAAGGTGTTCGAAGAAGGTCCACGTTCCTGAAGGAGATGGAAGAGGAAGAAGAATAAAAAGGAAGAATTTGGGGACAAAAACAGAGCCACCGAGGTCGGCTGAGCTCCATGATGGGGTTTGGTGGAACAAAGACCATCGCCACGGTGGCCGGTCCCAATTTTGGGGGTAAATAGCAGCTCTCACCGTCCGCTTTGATCTCGCTTTGGGGTATGTGCAACACACGAAATAAGAGAGCGTTTCTGTTCCTGAAGGAGTCGGGCAGGTCGGAAGCCTCCAATGGAATGTGCTCCAGCTCACACTCTCGCTCTTCACTGAAGGTGTTCACCTGAGCGTAACTGTAGAAGATGGGTCCTTCCTGCAGGTGAGAAAGGGAGATCCGGGCGCTGCCCGTGATCACTCGGTCTCTGGAAGAAGAAGAGGAGAAGTTTGTTGGCTTGGGGTTGATCCCCAAGGTCAACCTCGGTCACTGGGTTGACCCCCAAGGTGAAGCTTTGTCACTTGGTTGACCATCATGGTCAACCTTGGTTATGTGGTTGACCATCAAAGTCAACCTCGGTCACTTGGTTGACCACCAAAGTCAACCTTGGTTACTTGGTTGGCCATCATGGTCAACCTCAGTCACTTGGTTGACCACCAAGATGAACCTCAGCCACTTGATTGGCCACTATGGTCAACCTCAGTCACTTGGTTGACCACCAAGATCAACCCCGGCCACTTGATTGGCCACTGTGGTCAACCTCAGTTATTTCGTTGCCCACTGTGGTCAACCTCAGTTACTTGGTTGCCCATCACGGTCAACCTCAGTCACTTGGTTGACCACCAAGATGAACCTCAGCCACTTGATTGGCCACTATGGTCAACCTCAGTCACTTGGTTGCCCATCAAGGTCAACCTTGGTCACTTGATTGGCCACGATGGTCAACCTCAGTCACTTGGTTGGCCACCAACATCAGCCTCGGTCACTTGGTTGGCCTTTATGGTTATTTGGTTGACCACCAAGGTCAACGGTGGTTAATTGGTTGGCTACCAAGGTCAACCTCAGCCACTTGATTGGCCACTATGGTCAACCTCAGTCACTTGGTTGGCCACCAACGTCAATGTCAGTCACTTGGTTGGCCACCAACATCAATGTCAGTCACTTGGTTGACCATCATGGTGAACCTCGGTCACTTGGTTGACTACCGTGGTCAACCTTGGTTACTTTGTTGGCCACCGTGGTCAACCTCGCTCACTTGGTTGACTCCCAAGGTCAACATTGGTCACTTGGTTGACCACCAAGGTCAATCTCAGTCACTTCCTTGACCACCAAAGTCAACATTGGTCACTGGGTTGGAGCCACCACCAAGTGCTACGACTCCACCGGGCCATCTCCATTTGAGGGTTCCAACCTCTGTAAGAACCTCCCGTGAGGTCCTTCAGGCTGGAGCTGAACCTCCTGAAGAAGAACTGCGATGGAAACATCTCCTCGAGGTCAATTCAACCCATTTTGGGGTTTTGGGGGGTACCTTTTCTCCATGTTGGCGAATTGTTCACAGATACCGGGTTCTTTGTAGAAGACAACGCAGATGGTGGCTCGATCGTTGCGGTTAGAATGTTCTGCCAACACAGCCACAAACTCCAGGGTCATCATGTCTTTCCCTGGCGGGTGACGTCCACCAAACATGTAGGAGCTGGGCTGGCAACTGGGGGGGAAAAGAGGCGGTGGGGTCAAGAGGTGGTGGGTCCTCCACCTCCTGCCACCGTCCCCCCTTCCCCGTCTTCACCCGTTCCACTACTCACATCCACCATGGTGGGCTCCTTCCTGACGGTCTCACAGGTTGGACATCCAACGGGTCATCACCTCCTGTCCTGTTGAAGATCTCTTGGTTACTCCGACTGGTTTTGGGAAGAGCCCTCTCCCTTGGAGCAACCGGTCACCGCTCCGGTGGGAGGAGAGGATGGGGAAGAACATCCCAGGGGGTGGGATTTGAGGGGAGAAGGGACCTCCCGATGTCCAAGCTGCATCTCCACCCACCATAGCCCCCTCACTTGGGGACCTGCTTGGACCTCCAACCCTCCAGCTCCAACCTCAAACCCTTCGGTGATGACATCCCACCACCCAACGAACCTGCTGGAAGGTCCTGGACCTTCTCCGAACTCCTGGTCACCTGCAACTGAGGAGAAACCATCCATTAAAGCCTCCAAAGAAGGTGACGAGCCGAGGCGAGGTAGAAACCGAGGGGCACCAAGGAGAAGGGGGGGTTCTCCATGGCTTGGGCGTGGTCTCCTTGGAAGAAGAGGTCTCCACCATCCCGTCCACCTCCCCCAGCGCTGAGATATGGCCCCGCAGAAGAGGGGGACAGGCAGCAAGACCGGTAGGGTGAGGGCAACCACCGGGTATGACCTCCTCCCTTGTCCTCCTGCGCCTCGGGCAGGAAAGCCCAGGAGGTTTTTTGGGTGGGGTGTCACCAAGAGGTTCCCCCACCCAACCAGCTCTCATCACCCAGGGCTGTTCCCGCCACGACTCAGCACCCGCTTGATCCTCCCCAAAATATAAGACGCCGTGACCGAAGAAAACGCCCTCACCGCTCCCCGGATGGTGGTGGAGGTTCTCCTTCTCCACCCTCTTCGCGCCACCCGGGACCTTGGCCTGGAGAAAAGAAAAAAGAGGCAGATTTGAAGGAACCCCCCCCCAAAAAAAAACCCAAAATTAATGAAGTTTGAACGCTGAGAGCTCAAAAGAGTGGAGAGACAAAGGGCTGTGCAGGGTCATCTTCTGCTCCTTCCACTTGTAGAACATCGAGCTCTGAAATCCAGACCAGCCACGTTCTCCTGGCACGGACAACTCAACCGTTGGCGTCCAAGAGTTTTGGCCAAGAGCTTCCAAAGCTGCAGTGGACTCACCGGACTCTGGAGATGTTTCTGCTCCTGCGTTGCCGATGTCACCTTGGGCTGGACGCCGGTGTTTTGGTAAGTCTCCTCCTCCACCGAGCCCCAGTCGTGCACCGGGACCTGCTGGAGCTGGACCTCATCTCGTGGTGGGACCTCAGGAGCCTGAGAAGGAGAACCGGTGTCACCACCGGTCACAAGAGCTTTCGGAAGACCGTTGGAGTCACCTCCCAACGTGCCGTGGCCGTGGCCAAAGGGTCTGACTCCTTCAAGAGCAGAACCCGGCCAGCGTGGGACCTCGTGGGCAACACCAACCCCTCTGAGATACCACCCAAAGCTCACTGCATGCACACGCCTGGACCAATATCCCTGTTTTTTGACTTAAAACGACTTTGTTTCTTCCCGATGGACCTCTCCCGTGGAGGAGTGTCCCAGCTCTGACCAGGGATGGAGTTTGCTCTACGTTGACCCCTCCAGTGTTGGGTTGTGGCCACAACAGCACCGAGAACTGGGGGACGTTGGTGGTTGTGGACCTCTCCACCTCCATCTCCACCTCCACCCCCCCGGAGAAGGTGGTGGAGAGGTCGGGAATGGGGAAGAACTGGGTGGAGGACCCCAACTGGTCAACGATCTGCTCCACTTAACGGCCGTTTCACCAAAAACAATTACAAAATGAGGAATTTGGGGGAATTTGAGGGTTATTTGGAGTTTCGGAAGGTCCCGGCGGCGCCGAGTCAGCGATTTCCGCTCCAAATGTGGCGTTTTCTTTAATTTTTCTCACTTTCCCTTTCACCCGCACA